CCTGCCAGCCTCGCGCCTCGGGGCCAGCCGTCGTCCGACCGTCAGTCCCGTCTGTGTGGGCAGCACGGCCGGTCCTGAAGTTTTCCTCGTAGACTGACCGGACAGCCCTGCTTTCATAAAGAAAGGGGGTCGACAAGGTAATAGCCACCCCCTATTAATTAGCCACTTACATCCAGTGTAGGCCTAATGAAGGGAGGAAGGTCTGCCAACTTTCCGCCATGGTGTCTTTCAATGCGCGTGCGTTATAGAGGTACAGCGCGCTGAACAGATCATTTGCAGTAAAGAGGTGTTTTTCCAGCTGTATTTTTTTTTTTTATGGCTGCTTGTCTGAAACACCGGTGTGAATTAAGGTTAAAGCGCTTCAGGCAGTGGGAATGTGCTCATGTAATCCTTCCCTGCGCGTGGCTGCTCCGCAGCGACGTTCCGAAATCTGCACCCGCCATACTTGTTTTCTGGGTTTTGGATAATCTGGACCTTGCTGTTCTTGCTTCCCGTGCATTGCATACGCCTGGAGTTGTGACTTCCTTCCTGGTGTATTTATGTTCCTTTTAATCATCTGTTGCAAATGCTGCTGGAGAGCTGAAGGGCAGCAGCGAGCGGCAGAACGCCTCGCTGTCACGTTCATGCAGCTCTGCAGGGCAGTTCAGCGGCCGGGACAGGGTGTTACCAGTGTAGCTGCGTTTAATGTATAGATGAGGATAAAACTTTCTTTCCTTTGGGATTTTGTACGTGATGTGACTCAGACTCCCGATGAGCGTTCTGACAGCAGAACGTTCGCCATGCAGTCACGGGAAACAGTGCGTATCCTTTACACTTCATGGGAACAGCTTTATTTTTTTTCTGAGCTGTAAGTCAAGTGCAAACTCAGGTGGATATTTTTATAATATGTTGTTGAAAGTCTTTAGAAAATAGTGATGCTACCTGCATTTTTTAAGCCTTTGGCTTGTCATAGCTTTTTTATTTTCGTATTGGAATGAGATGGCAAAATCTAAGATCTCTAGACTGTAGGTGAAACATCAGAGGATGTAGATTAGTACACAAATTGCTTTAGCAAATGATTATTAATATTGGCAAATATCATAGGAAAAATATCATATGTATTTTTCGCTTCTCTAAGTAGTACTTTGCTTATTGCCTGAGATGAACTCTTTGCTCCTTTCCTTCTAGGACTGTCCTTTTATAGTGTGTATGACCTATGCCTTCCACACCCCTGACAAACTCTGTTTCATTCTGGACCTGATGAATGGTAAGCAAGGCTCATGCAGGTGATGATAATATTACAGAAATATTGGCAGGACTTGCTGAGGTCATAAGGAGAATGAGCGAAAAATAATCGGAGGTGTGAAGCATCGGCCTGCGGGCAGGAGGGGTGAATTGATCTAAAGCAGGGAATGTATAGAACAGACTGAAAAATCTCTGATACCTTATAACATTAGCATATTTAAATAAAGATATCAAAGGGCCTGCTAGGCTGGAAGCTTAACGAAATGATGTCATGTGGAGAAATGTATGAGGAGATCAGGGACACAGCTTTCAGAATAAAAATAAAAGGGCTGCTATAAAGAGCTCTGCAAAGAAAATAGATGGGGGAAGCATTCCTCAAAGGAAAGAAATGATACCTAGAAGCCTTAGGATAACTCTTATGAGAACACACAGAGAGAGAAATCGGCAGAGTTAAGAGAAGGTACTGCAGTGCCCTTATTTGCTGAGGATGCTCAGCGCTTGTGGGACTTGGACTCAAACTCTGACTGTGATCCTGCGGTAAGCACCTAAAGATGTTGGAGCGCATCTGCACGTACCGTGTTGCAAAGCTGGAAATGTAATTGAGAATTGGAGCTCGTATCCTGTAAGTAATAGAGACTGGCTTCAGTGTTTTGCAAGTGAAGATTCTCATTAAAACCTAAGCTGTAGGTCAAATTCAGGTAACTGGTTGGTTATTTTAAATCTGTAGCTTGATCAGAAACAGTTTTCTAGGAATATTCACAATTTGATATGTTGATGGTGTGGATTAGCTCACAGCGTGACATTGTATTGTGCCTGTTCTTTGAGTAGGAAAGTGTAAAAACATCCCCAGCATGAATATTAGAATATTTTGGCCCAAATGACCTTTCGAGGTTTCTCCCAACCTGGGCTGTTCTATATGCTTATTTATTCAGTTCTCCAGAAACCTGTATATATGACTGCGTTTTACTTGCTGTGGAAATCCTTTGCGCCAAGACTCAGTTGCTGGATTAGTCACTGAATGCAAATGTGTATGAAGTGAATGTATTTTTAAAATGGAGTTTCAGATTGATCAAATTTATTTACTAACTTTCTCAGGTATTTTGTCACCATGTGTAATTGCAGAGTGTATATCTGGGTTCCTGTATGCTCCACAGGTTATAAGAACCTACAAATGTTATGCTGTTCCCCCCTTACATCATGCTGTCTGCCTGTGAGGCAAGATTTTACTGTTCTTTTAATTGCATCTCAATTCTTCTAATTTTAGGAGGAGATTTGCACTACCACCTCTCCCAGCACGGAGTGTTTTCTGAAAAAGAAATGAGGTTTTATGCTACTGAAATCATCCTGGGCTTAGAACACATGCACAATCGCTTTGTTGTATACAGAGACCTAAAGGTAATCGTTAATGTAGTGACTGCATTCACACACGTGGTTGTTAGATAGCAGCAAACAATCCAGAGATACTGATAAGTTAAATGAAATATCTTACCTGAAACCTTTTCTTGGGAACAATACAGGTCATTTGTTTATCTTTGGCTGATTTTTCTAATAATTTTTCAACATAGTTATAATCTCTGCTATTATCTAGTTTAATAGGCCTGGGAGATGCTTCCTTGGGGTCAGAATAAATCCTGTGGAGTCTTATTCATCTCACTTACCATCGTAATGATGCTATTAATTTAGAGAGTGTACTGTATTTCTGAGCGCCCTGAAAGAGGAGTGTGCGTGATGGGAGACTAATAGGAAGACAGTTGCTCAGGGGTGTTTTGCTGAGGACTGGGGAGTTGAGGACTGCTCCCAGAGAGGTATCCACGAGCCAGGTGACAACAAAAGTGGGGAAGAGATCTGCACAGAGAGCGCAGAGTGTAGATGGCAAGTAAAGGATGTAAGAGGCACACACAGACCCTTCTGTGAAAGAACCAAAAGCAATGTGGACTTGAGGCCAAAACGGAATTCTTTTTTCATGTGCTTTGTGTTTCAAACCTTGCCTGTTTTTTCTCTTCTGTTATTTGTCAGTATTTCATAATCTCCTCCGGAGCTGATAGTAGTGCTCTGTTAGAATGTAGATTTTATCTAGAAAACGTCTATTATATTGATGGGGGGGGGGAGGGGGACAATTACCTGTTACCAGAGAGTATTCATGTTTGAGAATGAGTTACTGTGTTCTGAGAATTTGTAGTTCTGTCAATTGAAAAATACCAAGCAGTAACCTTTCTGTCTCTATGCATTGCTAGCCTGCAAACATCTTGTTGGATGAACACGGGCATGTGAGGATATCAGACCTTGGGCTGGCTTGCGATTTCTCCAAAAAGAAGCCGCATGCTAGTGTGTAAGTATTACGTATGGTAGCTTTGCTGCACATATAATTATTGCTAAATAAGTCCTTTATGTGTCTTTATAATTTAACTTTGCCTAAAAGAAAAAAAGAACCACTTGCGTGGCACAGGCTAGCTTTATAACACAGCTAAGCTGGATACTCTAATAAGGTTTTTCAGTCTCCTCTTCCTGTTTTCCTGCACAGTTGTAGCAGCTGATGTGTAGGCATGGCTGGAAGATGACACATTATTTCGAGATGATTCACTGTTCAGAGAAGATAAGAACCTGACTGAGTTAAAGTACCAGATTGTTTTCATTGTCCTAAATGGATAATTAAATATTCCAAAACTGACTAAAAAACAGGATTTATTGTGTCTTTCTCTTTCTGGATCTTTGTATAACTGGAGGCAAGTTGTGTTCCTTTCTGCCTCTTGGCATCAGGTCATAACTTGGGATCTGAATCTCTTGGTTTGTGTGTGGATTCCACATCTTATCTGGCACGTTTTATTCTGAGGTCCTCATTTGCCCTGATTTAATCTCAGAATTTATGCAAAAAGGAAAGCTTCATCCTGTCATATCTTTAAAAATTTGCAATTCAGTAGCTTCTTGAAAAAGTTCATACGTTCCAATTACGTCAAGGGTAAAAGCGGTAGTACATGGTGACTGCTTCGTAGTGGTGACCAGCGATGACTTCTGGCGGAGGTTGTTAAATCTAGCACACAGGTGTAGCTGGACGGAGGCACGTGAAACACATGGAGAGCGCACAAGCCAGCTCTGCTCGCCCTGTTTCTGGGCTTGTGGGTGAGAGCAGGTCTCAGTCTTGCAGGGCCCAGGGCTGGGGCGATCTGGCCTGAAATATCAGGAGCCCTGACCGCGTCCTGATGTCCGTCTTTCCTGTAAGCCAAGTGGACAGAGTACGCAGCTTTCCCACCTCTCTTTTGTGTTGCAGTCTTAGGCAGAAGGCTACTTACTGACCCCAGTACTGATTCTGCTAAATCTTGTTGTAGCTGTTTCAGCTTGCCTAATCATTCCTGTTGTTCTCTTGCTTCTTTTAAGGTATTTCCTCAGTAGATACATACAAACAGAAAACATGCGTATGTATGGTCAAAGACAAAGCAAAATAAAATCATGTTTAAAATTAATTATTTTTAAATTAGGCTATCTTACTGAGAAAACACTGTTTTGTTTTGGTTTTTTTTTTTAATTTTTTTTTTTTTTTTACAATGATAGTTTTGGTTGAAATCAAGATTTTGTCCCTTTCCGCTTCTCAGAGGTACCCACGGATACATGGCTCCAGAGGTGCTCCAGAAGGGAACAGCATACGATAGCAGCGCAGACTGGTTCTCGTTAGGCTGCATGCTTTTCAAACTTCTGAGAGGGTGAGTGAACTTTTATGTCCCATGTGCTTTTTTTTTTTTAGCCTGGGCCTCATCATTGTCTGTCCCTTGAAATACTAATATGTAACGTATTACATATTATCTAGAATGATATCTTGCTGCCATCTCTGCAACTTAGACCACGTCTGCACGTGAGACTAAAACAGGCTTTTTTTGCTTCCAAAACAAACAAAACACAAGCCCTGCTTCCTTTAGTAGGTACAGGTGTGGGGCAGTGAGGAAGGCAGATGCTCTATCCGCTCTTTTGACTTCTACTGATAGGCAGTTTACTCATCTTTTGGCAATTGTTAGTATTTTAAATGATACGATGTTATTCATTGCTTAAATACACTAGCAGCCTTGTTAAATTATGGACTTCATTTTATGCTTAAGACCTGCTGCTATGGTGAAGCTCTTTGCTGCGTTGTTCCCTTTTTACATGATGCTCAGTCTTTCCTTCTGTGGTGTTGGGGTAAGCTGTAATGTGTGGATGCTTCCGTTTGCTGAATCTGGCCTGTAACCATACTGGTGTACAAAAGATTACGATAATTACAACTTTGTCAACTGTTTCCTTCTCAGTGAACTTATGTGGCTATGTAGAATTTACTAAGACTATCTGAACAGTCAATAAGCACTGATTGGCAAGTGTTTGTTGAAAATAGCATCTTCAGAGTTAATGGCAAAACGGGAAAAATCTTCTAAGCTTTTCAGAGTGCTTATCTGAAAAGATTGATCATTAGTTAGATCATCCTCACACATAATTAATTATAAGCTCTTACCTCTATCCCAGTCACTGTGCAAAGGAAGGTAAGTGTGTGACTTCTAAATTGAAGTATAGAGCTGTATCAATTTAACATTAATTGTTCACAAAATAGACTAAATGTAAGTGTGCAAATAAAGAAAGAAATGGTGTTTAAATTGAAGAAAAAAAAAAAAAGGTCTTACTATGGACAGCATCACATAGCTGTGAGCAGTACTCTGTCTCTCTAATCATTGAAGGGTTCTGTAGGTAGAAGGACACACAACGGTTTGGGTTTGCCAGGAGGAGAGAGGAGAGCGACTTTCACACGCAGGACCACTGTGGACTCCGCGTCTTGTCTTTTGAGACCTTTTCCTTTTGAGTCGCTTGGGCACAGAGGATGAGGGCATCCGACTGACTGTGGCGTGGTTCTTCCTTCACAGGACTGAAGTTGTGTGATGAAAGAACTAGCACCTAGGGGCAAATGGTCCCATTTACCAGGGAAACTCACGGGGAGATCTCAGTCTCTGTGGGCTGTGATTCTTCCCGACAGAGATGTGTGGGGTGGTATCGGTGGTCGGCCAGAAGCCAAAGCGTTATTCATTGTGAACTATCCTTCCTCATCTGTTCTGAAGCCAATTAAACAACTCACATCCCAAAGCAAGGGTTGGGCACATGGTGCCATTTCTTGGTATTTAGTAAATTTAGTCTGGCATAAAATCTGCCCATAAGTCCACAGTGAATCATTTGCTTTCCTGATCTACTCAGAGCCTCATGGTCAAAGTATATGAGGCTGTATGTTAGCCATTTAGTCTTGCCTTCTTACCTGTCATGCTTAAAAACAGAAAAATGGAAGTCCTGGTCTGTCCGCCAGATCCAGTCATCAGAAATGTTTTTGAGGATAAAAGGGAAATAACTCTTGAGTAGCAGGTCCCCAGTTGAAACAAGCTAGTACACACTGCTGTGTGGCAAGACAAAATGCTTTATAATAGCTAATGAATGTATTGATAAGTAAATAAAATTTTAATTTTGAAAAATACCATTCCCGCAAGGTTTTGAAGAAAACTAAGAAACGGAATAGTAGTCTCGTACTAAAATGTTTCTGCTTTCTTTCATGCTCTTGTTTAAGCACTGCGTGGTACATCTGTGATATTCTAAGGTATTCTGTAGCTTGGGGTTGGAACTAGATGATCTTTGAGGTCCCTTCCAACCCAAAACATTCTATGATTCTACGATAAAAGGGAAAATTAAAATTCAAACCAGAGTTATAAAGCAGGAAAGGGATAAAGATGATGATTTACCAGATATCATCAAATATCTTCCCAGTCACTAATGTTGTGGTATCTATGATTATCTTCTGTTTCATCTACTTACTTTAAGATCTTGCTTCATTCTTCCCATACAAATGAGTGGTAAGTTCTGTAGGTCATACTCAGTTTCCGTATATAGATCAATGTTTTTAAATATCTGAATTGTGATAGCTGTTCAGGGTTTTCTTGTCAGATGAAACTGTTCTGGTTTTTGGGAGACATAGATGTAATTGGTAAGGCGTTTGAAACACCGTCCTTAAGGACGGATCAGTGCATTTAAGAATAAACTAACTCTCTGCATGCCTTTATATGGAGTAACTAGATCAGATTTCCCTGAGTTTGGTAATCCTCAGGGATGTCTGTGTGTAGTCTTCAAAGAAATTGAATGGTTGCTTTTCTCTGAATTTGATTTTGATGTCCACCACATGCAATTGTACTGAAAACAGAAAGGATAAACTTCCTTGCAAAGTGGTGCAGATCTCTGTAGTAAGAAAAGAAAACAATGTTGTAAGAGATCAAACATTGATATTTTTGAGGCAGCTAGTAGCCACAGTATGCTAGTGTGTAAAGTCTCATTTTTGTTGTAAATGCTAAATATTTTACTACTTGTTTTATTGTTCTGCAGGACAGGATATGATGAGGTGGAAGAATGGGACTAAAAGGATGCTACACTCAAAAAACCACAGCTGAAATAACCTGATATGTTATGGCTTTACATTTATTAGTGCATTTTCTTATTTCTACAGTCACAGTCCTTTCAGACAGCACAAAACCAAAGATAAGCATGAGATCGACCGGATGACGCTCACCGTGGTAAGGAGCCTGGTGACAGTCGCAGTTACATTCCTCTTGTTTAGTAAACTCCCATTTCCTCTAAAAACTGGAAGTATATAGCCTGCTTTCTGAGAAAGCTGTATTTACACATGGAAGAGTTGTTTACAAACACTATCAAAGAAAAGATACTCTCCTATGTAGGGAGAGCAGCTCACACTACTATAATTAAATGTCTCTTTTTGTTTTTCTTTTTTTCATAGAATGTGGAGCTACCAGATTCCTTCTCTCCCGAACTGAAGTCCCTTTTGGAAGGGCTCCTGCAACGGGATGTTAGCAAGAGACTTGGATGCCAAGGAAGAAGGTAGGTGTTGTCTTCTCCTTGGACCACTGCCTTTAAAAATTTCCACTTCTCTGTAAATGAATGAATGAATTCCAAGTGAAAATCTGTTTCCTGTTGTGATGATTTTAATTTTGGAAAGAGAACTCTAAAAAGTGCTATTGCATGGAATTACATTTCAGCTTGCTTTGGTTTGGACAAATTTTGGGACCATTTCTGTCATTAAAGACTTCTCCCAAGCTTTCTGCAGTCATGCTTACGTTGGTCGGTGTTCGTACTTTTCATCCCTGTGTTGTTTTTGTTTTTGCCTGATCTGTTTTGGCATGAAGTCATATTACTTGATTCAGACATATTGATAGCTAAAATCTATTGCTTATATTGTAGCTGTAATAATATGAGCCTATTACACAAAAAAAACCCAACCCCCAAACCACCATGCACAGAAGACTGCCTCTGTTGCTATGTTTCATTTCATGATTCTAAGGAAAAGGGCATTTTTTTTGTTTATTGACTACAAAACACTACTTGCTCCTGCCAAGCTTACCTTGCTTATAGCTGTTAACTGAAACTTTGTTATCACCTATTTAAAAAACCAGTGTGTGCCTTGTGTGAGACGAGGAGAAAAACTATGAGAGGAGTAAATAACTGTTGCGAAACCCTTGGCAATGTGTGATACCTGAGACTGGGGCTGGCCTTAGTTCCAGTGAGATATTCAGAGGCCGTTTTATCATGGAGACCTGTGTGATAAAATGACCTGAGATTGCTTTTCAGCCTTGGGCCTATCAAGAGGAGTTGCTTATTTTGCCGTAAAGTGTGTATAATATCATACGGAGTGGAGTAAGCTTATTACTTAGTAGTAGTATATGGGATTTGACAACAGACGAGTATTGTTTGTTGTTTGAAATGATGGAATACCATAGCAAAACAAGAAGTGATGGCTTGCCAGACCTACAGACCACATGAAAGTCTTTTCTTCTGTTGTTTACTTCAGAAGACTTTTTTTTTTCCTTGAAAAAAAGAGCATTTTACCGATGTTTTCAAGTGATAGAAATATGACCTTTGAAGGCTTTCTATTTCTCAAATACCTTTGAAAAGCCCCTTCATTTTGTTGACTTCAGTTACTTTTATTTTGCAGTGCACAAGAAGTAAAAGAACATCCTTTCTTCAAAGGCATTGATTGGCAGCAAGTCTATTTACAAAAGGTAAAGGATTAAGATAGTAACCTTTGCTTACTTGGTAAAGCAGTAAAAAGAAAATAAGCCTAAACAGGTAATGGTCAGAAAACTTCAGGGTTCCAGTCCCCAGCACATGTACTCATTTGCACGAATATGTGGAGGATTGTTGATGAAAACTGCTGTATATTCATTACTACAAGTCCTCCTGATCGGTAGTACTGAATTACTACTTTTTCAGGGTCGAATGGCTGCATGGTTTCTTCTGCTTAGCTGTCTCTAAGCTGTAGGGTTTTTTCCCTGAATTTTTGGAGGACCATTTATTAAAGGAGTGGAGAACTTCTTTGCCCTGAAGTTTCATTTCAGGGGACATACTTTCGCGCAGTCATGTGTAATTTGTGCAAAAAATAAAAAGGCAGAATGGATTTAAATACGTCCATTAATTTGTCTTTAATTATGCTGCTTTTAATTTCTAGTATCCTCCACCCTTGATTCCTCCCAGGGGAGAAGTAAATGCAGCAGATGCTTTTGATATTGGATCATTTGATGAAGAGGACACTAAAGGCATTAAGGTATACAACTTTAAATGATAGGTAGAGAATGGCACTGTGATTGCTGTGCTTAACTTTTTGTGTGTGCATGCCATTCCTTCGCTTCAGGGGCTACTGAATGTGCAGGGAATTGCTTTCAAGTTTGGAAACTTAATCCATGCTGTTACAAAAGAGGTAGCTTGGGCTGGCCGGCTGGTTTGTTGTTGCTTGCCAAGTCTGTGTGTTTTATTTTTTAGATTGACTGAAATCTACCTTCCTATCAAAAGTTTTATATGATAAAGCAAATATTTCAAATGGTCAGACAACTTTTGGGAAATCCTGAGGTTTTGAAGAATACTTAATGGTTTGTGGTTTTAGAAATTGTAGTTTGTTTCTGGTAGCTTGGATGAATTGAACTAACCCTTATTTTATTAGTATTACCTCATGGTCAAAGAGTGCATTGGAAAAGTCTTACAAATGACAAACTGTATGTTAATAGTAGCAGCTTTATAAATTAGAAAAGCGATAAAAGAAACTTTCAGGTTCTGATACTATCCAAAATCTAGTGAAAACAATGTAAAGGAAAAAATGAGAAGTTAAAGCTTCTGGCCCATTTCTGACTTGTGTGGAGGTGGTGTGACGTACCTGCGTATTCATCCCCTCTTCTGAAGCCTCCTCGGTACTTTGAGACAATAGGTGAATCAGTGCTTGTCTTGGGTCTGTCCCGTTCATTATTTTTATCATACATTTCTTCAGTAGATCAAACTTTATTCTTGTTATTACAGAAGTGAGTCAGGAGAGAAACTAACTGCTCTAAACTTCATAAGCAAAAAAACATGTTAAGTACTCACTGTGCCTAAAAAGGAACTTGTCTGTCAGTGTCACCTGCTGTAATTACAGAAGTTGGCACAGAAAAGATTTTTACGTGTTTAAAGAGAAATGCAGAGAACCCAAGATGTTCTTTATCCCAGAAAACTCCACATCTTCAGTGTCGGTGTTAGTCTAACAGGATTCCAATTTCCTGCAGTTCTGGAACATCACAATTTGTAGGAACATTTTGCAAGGAGAAACCAGGTGGTCTTTTTATTTATTGAGGGGATCAGATATTCTCAGCAAGGCCTGTAAATTGTATTGCCAGATCACTTCCATGTAATCTTTGTTCAGACAGCCTATAAGGTAAATTTATTCTTAGTCATGAGTCAGTGAGGGATATCATGTACAGCTGCTTTGCTCTGCGCTTTCACTGGGATGTCACAGTCTTTTAGAAGGGACTGAATAATTCATGCCTCTGAGTCAGCTGCAGTCGGAGCTTCCATTAAGGTGTCAGGAGCCGTCTCTGCCCGTGAGGACGCCAGTTTTGAGTGCCTTGCTCTTCCGTTGCTCCTGCGGATTATATTTATACTGCAGAGTGTCCTGTGACACCGAGAAGAACACGTGTTCTTTGAGGTTACAAACTGGAAAGCCAACAGTGGATGCCCGTGGCTTTCTCCTCTTACTTGGATGCCATAAGGAGTCCCCGTGAGCCCCTTGCACGGAATTGCAGAGCTGTCTTCTGGCTTCAGATCCAGTGTGTATTTTCCTCCTGTGGTATGGTTATGGATCTCTGAAAAGGAGGAGAGTATCGATTCTGGGGGAGTCTGGCCTGGCTGCAGAAGGAGAATTGAGCAAGGCTTTCCTATCCTGTGGGTCCGCTCTGAGCAGCGGGGCGCGAGTGTGCCCGTCGCTCGGGGTCTGCCTTCCCCCTCGGGGTCTGCCTTCCCCCTCGGGGTCTGCCTTCCCCCTCGGGGTCTGCCTTCCCCCTCGGGGTCTGCCTTCCCCCGGCGCGCTGCTGCAGCGAGGACCCGACCCAGCCCTGCCTGCGGCCAGGCAGGGCGGTCTGGCAGGCTTACTGCATTCGTAACAGGGCAAAGGGTGCCTCTCTTTGTCTTGCTCTCTGAAAGAAGGGTCTAGTTTCTCTACGGATTGACGGAAACTGAAGCGACTGAGGAGTGGCTGTAGAGAGTTTAAATTCATCCCCAAACAAAAACCTTTATTAAAGTTATAGGGAAAACACTGATCGCTTTTTGTACTGCGTTGAAGTGCCTTGTGGCTAAACCCAGAACATGGCTGTGTCAAGCAACAAACAGTCCTCCCTGAAGATCCAGTAATTTTAGTTTCCTTTAGTATAATTCAATTCAAGTACTGTAGTTAAAGATTAGGGGAGAAAAGAATCTATATAACAGGAAAATTGCAGCACGCACTGCTGAATTTTGAAGGTTAATTATTAAGAATGTAAAATTAAGCTGTGGAAGCATGGATGGCATTATTGTATAAAAGGTATCTTTTCATTTATTCGTGGAGTTTTTGTGCTGAGAAAGTTTTTAACACAAGTAGACATTTTGGTAACACTGATTATGCAATGAAGTAAGGCTTTTAGAGCTATCAAACCAAACAAGTTTTGAACAGGTGGCCTGTTCTCTGTATATAAATGAATGTCTTTGCTTAAATTAGTATATATGTTTTCTCTTGTTTGCACCTGTTTGTTCTGGTAAGGTTAGAGTTCAATTTGTCTTTTAAAATAATACTGTTGTAGGGGTAACTATTAACTATTGGGGATAAGAACAGTAAAAGTTATTAAAATGTTGTGGTTTTATGTTTTTTTTCTCTTGCAAGTTGCTTGATAGTGACCAGGAATTATATAAGAACTTCCCTCTGGTAATATCGGAGCGTTGGCAGCAAGAAGTAGCAGAAACTGTTTATGATGCAGTAAATGCAGACACAGATAAGATTGAGGCCAGAAAAAGGGCTAAAAATAAGCAGCTTGGCCACGAGGAAGGTAATCTGTCAAATACACTTCTCTCCATCTTTTGCTGCTAGATAGTAATTCATGCTTTTGAAGTTTCACACAACAGACTCTCATATTACTGTCATTCACCAGTAATTGTTAGAATTCATTTAGTCAGTATCATGTTTCTTAAGACATTTCTTTATGTTTTGAAATGCTGTATGATGACATAATGTTTTGGAAAATCTTTTGTACTCTCTTTTAAAGATTATCATGTACAACCTTTCATCATTTTTGTTTATGGTGTATGCCCAGAAAAGAGTATGTGGGATTTGATTTCATAACAAAGAAGCCGGGAAAGAAAACAGGAGGTCCTTTACAGCAAACTTCACTTGTTTGCACGAGGATGTTGCATCACAAACTCTGAACTTTGGATAGCAATATAAAATTCTTTTAATAGTTAGTAAGATGCTTTTTTAAGAACCAAATGCTGTTCTTCTGTTCATGAGCCGCATCAGCTCATGTAGTTAAGGCAGAACTGGCTGTGTGTGCCTGTGCACATAGAAGCACTATTGCAAGCTTGGTGAGAGCACATTGAGTCACGTTGCGTCCAGGACTGTGTCCTTTCTCAACATAGCACATTTGCAGAATGCTTTTAGCGAGTACTACCTTGTTTTGCATACTAATGTTTCCTCTTGTTATAGATTATGCACTTGGGAAGGATTGTATTATGCATGGATACATGCTGAAATTGGGGAACCCATTCTTGACTCAGTGGCAGCGTCGTTACTTCTACCTCTTCCCAAACCGACTTGAATGGCGAGGAGAAGGGGAGTCACGGGTAAGTGAGGTCACTCTAGAGAGCAGCAGCTTCCAAGGGCATGAAAGGCAGGTGGATGTTGAGGGAACCTGAGAACTCCTACTCAGGCATACCTCCCATGGAAGTAGAGTTTTGTCCAAGTAAATGACCAGTGGATTTGAGTAACTTGAGTATCGCTGTAGTTAATGGGTAGCTACACTGCACTGAGGAAACATAAAGTTGACTTGAGAAGCCTGCTTACTTTGTTTTGTTATGTTTTTAAAGGAATTTGGTAGTTCATGGTGTTGTTTTTCATTTAGGACCTCTGGACTATTTATACAAAAAAACATAAACTGGTAAGGTCATAAATGCTATAGCATTTTATTTCAAAGAAAATGCTATAGTAACTTTAGTTTAGTCCAGCTGTAATAATGTGCTAGGCAGATCATTTGTATATTTAGTTAATTAAGGTTTTGGAATTTCAAAACATTGTTCTCCTCTCAGAGTCTATAGGGAAAGCTTTTCTGCAAACGGTTGCATATGTTTGCTTCTTTGTAAGTGTATAGTGCTTAAGTATTCCCTTTCAGCTCTTTGAAATAGTAAGATTGCCTTTTTCTTTTATAACAGCAGTAATACTTGGAAAAGATATAAAATTATATGCAACTCTCTTGTGGGAAAATAATGAATATTTTGTTTGTAGACACGCCTAGTTGTAGATTCTTATTTCATGCTGTCATTACTGGCTTTCTTAGCTTATGTTTCGTTGTCTCTGTTGAAGCAACCAAGCTCCTTGCTAAATCTCTCTCTTACCTTATAATCTATCTTTAGTTCATGACCCAGTCTCAAGAAATGTTTGTGTAATGACTGTTGACGTTCATAACTTGATTTATGTGGGTAGTCCCGAAAAATTAGATAGTGGCTTTATTTGATGGGCAGCAGTTTTTTTTGAATCATCTCTCTGCTTTATTTTTGCAAATGCTACAGCAAAACCTGCTGACAATGGAACAAATAGTATCTGTTGAAGAAACACAAATTAAAGATAAGAAATGCATCTTACTGAGAATTAAAGGAGGAAAACAGTTTGTCCTACAGTGTGAGGTGAGACGCTTGTTTTTCAATAACTGTTAATCAGATTGTTTTACATATGATAAAACAATTGAAAAGTTTTTCAGGTCCTCCCGTTATGTATTAACTAAGTGTACTTTACGATGCAAAGCTGAACCTAAGCAAAACTGGGAAGTTTTTATCACACTTGAATTTTGAAGGCAGGAAAGCTGCAGCTGTGCCAGTTTCTGTCGTGGATTTCAATGGTATTTGGGCCAAAATGAGTTCGGTTTAATAAATAGCTAAAAATGTCAAAACTTCTCAACCTACGTGGGCTTGGAAGGCCTTGTCGGCACGTGTCTCACCGCAGTTAGTCCATGGTAGCTAATGTGTTTGCGAGGGAGGAAGTACACAAGTCCTCGTCCCATCTTGACTGGCTGCAGTTGCTGCTGCCTTGCCTGGCTTCGGCGGGGTGACGGAGAAGCAAAGGGCTGCACATTTTCAATATCCAAAGTTACTCATTCCTTTTGGAAAACTAAAATAAGTTGCTTAAAAGTGCTATCTAAGAGAGAAGACGCTATTGGCAGTTTACTATGAAGTGCCAAACTACTTCTGTATCTCTTTCAGAGTGACCCAGAATTTGTTCAGTGGAAAAAAGAGCTGACAGAAGCTTTTACTGAGGCACAGAGGTTGCTGCGTCGGGCTCCAAAGTTTCTCAATAAATCTCGCTCAACAGTTGTAGAGCTTTCAAAACCACCGCTCAGCCACAGGAATAGCAATGGTCTGTAGGAGAAACAGAGAACAAAGTTCACTTAGGGAAAGCTACTTCGTGAACATGTTGAGTTTCACAGAATCCTTATGAATTACTTTGTGCAATCCTCGACGCGGGATGTGCTTAGAAGAGGAGGAATTAGATGTTTACAGCGTGGGATAATGTCAGAACTCTGTCTCTGGAGGTTGTGAAGACTGGAACAATGGCAAGTGAATTCATGCTCCTAGCAGCGGTGGAAAACACCACGCGTAGAGGCTGCATGTTGCTCCCATGCATTCCCGCACCCTGGCGGTGTCTGAAACGTGGTCCGTTACTCTAGAACTACTGATGGAAGGAAGATGTTGTTTTCTCTGCAATACCCTTGTTTGGTGCGTACCAAGCCTGGAGACTGAAGAGGTTACTGCTGGCTGGGATTACACGTGTGTGTGCGATACCGACGAACCCCTCAACTGTGGAAGGAGCTGCAGACTTGCCATGTTGGATAACCTTTAATCTGTCGTGTTGCCATGTTCTTTCCGACCATTACTGCTGACTTTATAATAACCTTTCTCCATACTGCTGATGATCAACAGTGTGACTCTTATGCACTTCAAAGTACTGAATCCTAACTGTCCTGTGGTTTAAATGTTATTGCTACTTCATGGAAACATTGAACTCGATTTATTCACTTAGTTTGTTGTACTCACTAATAGTAGCTACCACCGTTTTGCTTCTTCTACGTATATGCAGTACTATAACTGACACAATAGAGTAATAATTGGTGAAGAGGAATTTATGGTAGCTTCATCTAGTGCTCTGTTGTATAAATTGACTATTTTAGCACAGTTTTTAAAGAGCAGATTCCTTTTGACAAGTTTACAGTGAACATAAAGACAGTTCTTTTCCATTTCAGGTCAACTGCACTTTTTAAAAATTAAAAAGAAATTATTCAAATCCAATGCATTTTAGAGCATGTACTGGGTTAAAATGTCTGGGTACCTCGGTACGTATTCTGGATCACTCTTCAGTTATGGGACTTGTGGATCCTTCTCTGTTGCACACACAAACATTAAGCAAGTGTGTTCTCATAGCGTAGATATCCCAGACTTCCACTGTAGCTCAGCTCGGGAGGTTTGTGCACACATCACATGGCTCGGCTTGCAAAAGGATTTTTAATTTTCTTTTCTAGAGAGTTCAAACTGTCCACACTGAAAACAGTCTGAGAATAATGAGGATGGAACTGACAAAACGAGCTGATCAAATGCCAGATTTGTATTAATTCTACTTGAGACATCAGTCGTGTCATGTGGAAACTCTTGCTAAAGTAAAGATATAATCTCTTAACTGTTAGACAACTTTAAGCATGTGAATCAGCCTTTCCCTGGTTATTGTGATGTTTTGTAAGAGATAGGTCAGGGCTTAATTCAAGCTTTTTTCTGATTCAGTAAACACCTTAGAGAACATTTTCTGCCTAATTACGGTGGTACAACTCTCATTGTCCCTGAAGGCGGTGGGAATTGCATCTCCGTAAATGGGAACCGAAGTTACACCAACAGCTTACTCTGTCCACCCAGTGTGCACGGCGTCTAGCCTGTGTTGCTAACAGATAACCACAGAGTTCTAGAGCCGTTTCTTTGTAGAAAAGTACAAATTGGCAAAAATAGGAGAATTATTTTGAAAGTATTTGTTTATCCTGAACAGACTTGTAATAAAATTGGATGTATTTGCTTCTAGAAGTGGGAGTGGCTTAACTCTGCATAGCATGAGCTTTCACACGTGTGTGAACTGTCTTATCATCTGGTGCAGCATAAATGGAAAAACACGTTTTGGAAGGTACCCCGTGTGAGTCCGGTGATATCTTTTAATGATTTTTTTCCCATTTATTTTTCGGATTACTCTGTAAAAAGAGTACCAACTTCTCTGTTATTCTTACTGGTAAGTGATGTTTAGCGTCAAGGCATCCTCTGTAATGAGTTGTGGTATTTACCGAGGTTTGGAATAGAAAATGTCTCATCTTACTGGCGCTGACTGTGCACTGGATGTTGTTAAGCTTTTCCTACGATACCATGCAATGCTCTTACTTTTCTTCTTGATTTGGAAAAAAACCTCAGATTGTGATAAGAACCGAACATGTAACTTGTTCATACTTAGTTCCTTATCAGTTCCATTCTTCTCTTTTAGTTATTTTCCACAGTTGCTTTTTACGCTAAATCCTTGTTGGCATAGTTTTGTGGTTTCTGATGCAGCATACCATAGATTCCGGACGCTGGTGTCTGTGAGGAGGGGAGGGACAGATCTGTAATTGGGAAATTGTGCCTCAAAAACATAGATTTTATATGAAACAAAGGCTGCGTATTGACTTACGGAAATAAGCGTATTTTGAAGTGTAATGGAGCTGGGATGGCCCTGGAACATGCTTGTTAGTGTGGTCCTTATTGCCTTGTCCGGGTACACGACAGCTGAGCTGTGCCGTCGGTCAGCACCGCTCGCCAATGTCAGACGGGAGCGGAGTAGTAACAGATATGCTTTTCTTTACTCAACTGATTTACCGACAATTTATGAAAACTTTGTATTTGTGACACACATACGACTGTGCTGTTAGGAGAGAAGGAGAGATTACGGTAGTGAAAAACTCCCGTACGTGTGGGGGAAGTTGGGATCCCAGTAACAAGTGGGGTTTTGTGTGGAAGGGACTGGATCTTCTGGTGTGGAGGGAGAGCTGGAATTCTGCTCTTCAAAGCAAAATATTAGCTACTGCTCCGAGCTGATCGTTCCTGGTTTAGGTACCAAATTCTCTGAGTTTTTTTCTTGGACAAAGATTCTTGATGGTGTTATTTTACATGTGGGTCTGTAGCTGTATGTGTAGAAAATCTTGTTGAACACAGAGAAGGTAAGGCACCGTGTTGTCTTCTATGCACTTTGACCACAACTTTACTTTTGTGGTCAAAGTAAAGACAAAAGAAATTAGAGCTTCAGGCATCAACAGAGCTGAGTGAATGTTTAAACACAGATTTTTAAACAAATTATCTGAAAGTCCTTTAAAAAAAAATCCGCCGTACTTAAGATTCAAGCATGCACGGGAATTGTTTCTTATATTTCAAAATAGGGAATTACATGCCAGATAGAGCCATATTAAACGCTCCCCTGACACATCCACATGCCTTCAGAGCTGCAGGGATTATTTTCTAATTATTCTTTGTCTCTGACGTACAAGCTGACAAACGCAGTAAGACTAGATCCTGGAAAGCAAGTGCGTGAGTGCTGTGACTGTAGAAAGATGCGCAGTTTCTGCAGGAGCTGGGCTCGGGGCGTCACGGTGACTCTTAGGAGAGCTGCAGCTCTTGTTCTGTGTGCTTTTCCTTTCCCTTTCCCCCCCTCTCTGAGGTAGGCGGCATTTTTGATATGTGGGAGTTGCTCTAAATTAGTGTCTGGTTTCAAGATAGGGATACAGCAAATTCCTGCCAAAATCAGACTTCTATGAGTTGAAATTCAAGTGCAGGAGAAGCAAAGCACCAGTTATTCCTGCGGCAAGCAGGGTGTGACTGAGGAGCCGTTTGGAGCTGGGCACGAGCTTGCCCGGCACTGTAAAGCATTCCCTGGACGCTCTGTCAGCTGAGATGTCCCATCATTGCAGGTATAATTAGGCAATTTTTATTATTCAGATTTATTTGGTAATTATTTTGCAAATTCATGAAACTGTTAAAGGAACATTTACTAATTTTTTTTTTTAAGTCCTTCATTTAACTGTAGGCTATCCAGTTTACTAAGATTTAAAGCTTCTTCATGTTAGTTATGTTTGAGCTCTGTCTTGTCGCTGGTCCAGCAAAGTCTACGGCTGCAGTTTCACGGGTTACTTCTCAAACCGCTGTGAGATAAGCCCCGCTGGTGTAAATACTGGAGCTGATCCAACTTGCATTGATGTTCCCGGTATGTTACCCCCTGTTAGGCTTCAAAAACAAAGACTCCGAGCACGCTAATAATAGTTGGATGTGCGGATGGGCAACCTGGCAGGCAGGGACAGCGCTGTGCTCGCTGCGCGGGGGTGATATACCTCAGCTTAGTCGCATTCGAATTTTCCTTAATTTCAACAACTCTCCTTTAGAAATGCAGCAGAAGTTTTTCTTCTCCCACTTCTGTCGAGGGGAGGGGAAAAAAGGAAATAGGGTCATTGGATTGGTTTTGGTTTTAATATAAATTGCAGTCCGGTGCATAGATAAGAGGAAACGTTGTGTATTTGGTGCTAAAAACAAACCTGTTTATCCAAGTTGTGATCCTGTACAAGCGGATGCTGTTGATGTCCAGTAGCACTGCTCGGGGCGTTGATTCTGCGCGGCTGAGGTCAACGGCAGCGTTGCCATCACGAGCAGGATCAAGCCCTCGATGCGTGTCATGACTTGCGCGTTAACGGTTCCTAGGTTTACCATCTCCGAGGATAGTAAATTACTAGCTCCTGAACAGTGAAATACCTGGAGCTCTGTGTGTTGCTCTTTTCCTGGCAGCTGATCAGTTTTAGGACTAGGTTCTTCTTTAATATCACGTACATATCTACATACCGCAGACGTTCGCAATCGCACACTGGTTTCACTGTTCCCCACAGAGCAGATGGCAATGATGCAGTTAATTTAACTCTGAAATGCTCACACTCTAAATGTATGTGGAGGAAGGACTATTTTGAAGTGTACAGTAGAAAGTAAATAGTTCTAGTTGTGTTGATTAATATAAGGAATGAGTCAATTCTACAAATTAAAAAATCTGAAAAACGTATTTTGAAAAAGCATAGTATTAATTTTAATATTGTAAAAAAAAAAAGGAAAATATCTAAAATATCCAGAGAACATATGTATATCCAAATGTCTGAGGAATTTCAAGATAATCTACTTTTGTTTTCTGTTGATTTCTATTCCATGGTGTACATATTGTGTGGATTGAACATTGGCTGGTTTAATACTATTGTTAAATTGTATTTTTATTTTGTGTTAAACTAATCATCACAGACTCAGCTTTATTTTGTTTATGTAAAGGTTGCTATGCTATGTAGGTATAAAACCAAGAATTCTATTTTAACAAAAAAGCATTTTATATTATTTATTAAATACATCTTTCTCCAACTTCTGACATTCCACAGAATTTCTGCTCCGTATGTGTATAGAAATGGCAGTTCCTTTCAAGGAGGATCAGTCAGCTTTATTCTGTTTTTCATAATAAAGTCGAAATAGTTTCTGTCAGTCTGTCCAGCTTACCATTCTGTTCCGAGCACAGGGACTTGCAGGCACTGTCAGGACCATCTCGAAGTGCAGTGGCTCGTGAATGCAGAAACATCTGAAAAACTCTTGCAATATCCATTTGATATTTCTAAGTTTCCCCTTTATTCCTCAGCGTTCCAGAGAGCGAGCTTTTATTCGCGTGAGTCTGTGCTGGGTTAACGAGAATTGCTGACCTTAAATGGGGGCAAGGAATCAGCTTGATATTTGAAAAAGCTCGGAGATCAGCTCAGCTGTTTGCAAAGCGCTTTAATCGTGAGATTACTGAGCGAGTGGAGGGAGAGGCTGCTCCTCGAGCGCTGGCTTGGCTCGGTGCGGGTCCGCTCCGGGAGTGCCTTGTGTCGGGCGGGTTCAGGATGAGGGCAGAGATGGGCTCGCTGGCGTCGGTGAGTGCAAAAATGTACGTACTGGAAATGATTTTTGCTGTTTCAGGGTGATAACTTGGTCCTTAAAAATAGGCTAGAGCCCGTGAGGACAGGAGAGGTGTCCGGCAGAGCCGGGACTCTGCTCGTCGCAGCCGCGGAGGGGAGCGGGCACCCCGGGACCCCGGAGGGCCCGTCCCTCGGGGGGGGTTGGGGGGCGAGC